CCTCACCTGGGATGGCTGGCGACCTATAGAGGAAGAAAGAAAAAAGAAAAGAAAAAGAAATATTAAAAAAGTATTCAAAAATAAAAAATAATTAAAAATTCGAATTTTTTAAGAAATAAAATAATATTTATTAAAAGGAGTGCAAGGGAAAATTAAATCATATTCTCCATACCGAACTACGGAAAATATTTTTTAGTTTATTTTCAGGTCTCAACCGAATACCGGAAAATATTGTCATTTTTCTAGAAAATGACTTTCCAAAAAATATTTTTTTTAAAAAAAATCATATTTTCCGTGAAATGAACATAGTAAAAAATAATGAAGACATTGCTCTCGCTGCCGGCACCATAGGAGCTTGTCTTCTCATTACCGGTGCCCCATTGTTGTTGACCCGCATCCTGCGAGTCTTTGATCTGTCCAGCCCTCGATCCATGACCCCGAGACCCTACCCTCTCTTCGCTCTACTGCAAATCAAACATGGCTCTACATGAGCAACGAGCGATGGGCGACCATTCGTGAATGCGGTGTCGAGGTGGGATGGCTATGGGACATGAGGCGCCTTGACGGCAACGAATGGTGGCTCTGTGTGTGTGTGTGTGTGAGAGAGAGAGAGAGAGAGAGAGAGAGAGAGAGAGAGAGAGAGAGAGAGAGAGAGAGACTTACCTTATGACTATAGCTTGGGATTTGAGGAGGTCGATCATGGGCCTACCAAGTGACCCATTTCTCTGGGCCTTAACCCCTCAAGTGAATGTATTCATGTGTTAGTGGGTCGTTCTATAGGTTTATTTGAATCTCAGGCCCGATCATCATTATCCATATCCACCTGGGAAATGGGATGATTCCACAATGGTACTTCTATAGTCTTGCAGCTTTAAGGATTATTCTTAACTACAAAGACTATGTAGCTTTTATGTTACATATTTTACATCGGCCTCCATGAATAATTTGATTAATTGATTACTTGCTAAAAGTAAAACTACAAACATCAGCAAGAGAAATAAGTAAGATTTTGGTTATACAGCTTGTGTTGCCAAGTATTTATCCATATTTCATTGGGATATGATCTACTTTCTAAGTTAGTCTTGCTAGTTTCTAGAATTGTTGTAGCTAAGATTTGTTGAGAATTACGCTGGAAATAATTGTATCAATTGCAAATAAATCAAATTATAGTATATTGAGTAATTAAGATTAAATATAATTGCTTGGTTGCAAAATCCACTGAATTTCAATTTTCAATGAATTTGTATGAGATTTTACCCCAATATCTCCATATGTTCCTTCTTTACTTTTGTTTGGAGAACAGTAAATTGGAGTGGAATAATGTTGAATGTTTGGGAAAATTATTCAAAAAGTTCTAGACCCATTGTAGAGCGGCCAATTCGGTCATAAACTTTTCAATTATGCCACCTAAACCTTTTGACAATTTGTCAATTCAGTCATAAACTTTTTAATTATGCCAATTTAGTCCTAAATCAATAGTAGATTTTCCAATTTAGTCCTAAATCTTTTTATGAATTACCAATGTAGTCCTTTTGACTAAATTTGGCCGGAAATCGCTAACGCAGTGGTCCCAGTCAACATTGGCTGTCCTATGTGGTGTGGCTGACGCTGATATAGATAATTTTTTTTCATTTACTAAAATTTTTATTATTTTCCTTTCTTTTCTTTTGTTTCTTTACTTGTTCGAAGGGCCAGCGGGGTTGGCGGTGACTCGCCGACGCCCGCACGAGGGCCATGAAGCCCTCATCGGCCATGGACAAGGCCCGTGAAGCCCTTGCCGGTCGTGGGAGCAATGGCGAGGCAACGGCATCACAAACCTCACCCAGGCCCTCACTGGCCACAACAAGGGTAGGCAAGGGCCACGAAGCCCTTGCTAGCCCCAGCGAGTTTGCCGCCCTCATCCAAGGGGCAGCGGAGGTTGCTCGCCATTTGAACCATAAAAGAAAAAAATTAAAAGAAAAAAAAGGAAAGACAAAAGACAAAATCAATAAAATTTGATAATTTTTTTTAAAAACTAATAAAAAATTGTTCATGCAAGCGGCTGGTCGTATCACATAGGATGACTGGCACGGACTAGACCGCTACGTTAATGATTTCTAGTCCAAATTAGCCGGAAGGACTACACTGAAACTTCTTTAAAAAGTTTAAGAATAAATTGGCTCAATTAAAAAGTTTAGGACTAAATTGGCCCCTGTACAATATGTCAAGATTTTTTGGATAATTTTCCCTTAAAAGTTAGGTAGGACATTGGCCTAACGAGGCCCATAGAAAAAAACACTGGAAGGGAAAGGAATTGTCAAATTTTACTTCGAAAGCTCTCTTATCGTGCAATTTGTGCACCATATTTGTGGATTTCAAAAAAGAAAAATGCTAACGTGTTGAGAATTCTTACTGCTATAATTTGCTTCACCTGAATCCCTAGTTGTAAAACGCTTGGTGGGTCTAATTCTAACACAATTTAAATAAATTGTAATAGCAAATAATGAATTTGCAATCACGCCACATCCCACAACCACATGAACACCGCTTTATGCACGTTTAGAAAGATATTAGAAGTGGGATCAACCATCCAAGATAGACAATAAGGTGAACCTTTTATGATTGAAGTAAACATGAGAACATAAGAGATGCAACACAATATTCAAAACTTTAAAGATAGTATATATAAAACTTAGAAGGAACATCAGTTGACTTTCCTGCAGTTTTTCCTAATCTGACCACTTGAGCCGCTGAGCGGGCTAAGGTTACCCATTTTCACCATGGCGTTAGCAAAATCTGTCATGAAAGTAGCCAAATTACTACTGTAAGCATTCACTGGAGCGTTCGTGGAACCATCACTGAACAATTGCTGGTCGGAGTGAAGAAAAACCTTTTGGGTCTGCAAGTTCTTGAAAAAGGCATTGTCGAAGGACGCCAAGCTCGTGGTGTCGAGAGGAGAGAGATTGTTGTCGCCTCCAGAGCTTGGGCAGTTTGCTTTCAATGACATTGCGAGTGTGTGGCATTGATGTTGTTCTCGTTGTAAAGCTGGGTCCAAAAAGTCATGCATCGGGCTTGACCTATCGTGTGCGACCCTGTTAACAACAATCGAACAATTTTTGAAAATTGATCTTAGTATATCCATATAGCATTATTGTAATTCTTTATTAAAAATTGCAACCAAAAATAAAAATAATGACCTAAAAGTGCCACCATTTCTTTGGCAGTGAAGCCTTTGCCAGAGAAGACACAGATTAGGCCGCTAAGGCTCAAAGTTGGAGCAGGAATGCTGCTATTAGCGGCACTTTGACTTGCAGTGGTTGAGTCTCTTCTTCCTAGCGAGACTGTCCAACTTGGGCCACCTAACTAAAATTTATATAAATAAACAAATCCATACGTGTTAGTATTAATATAACATGGGTAACATAACATGTGCTTTTTTTCCCTCAAAGTTGATCACTAGAATTGAGAAGAAAATGTGCACTTATGGCAATGACGAAATCTTGTGCAACGACGGCCAAGCTGTCGACGCAGGACACGATACCGGGCCACTTGCTCTCCAATTGGGACTTGATCATGTCGATCACCTTGTATCCCCGTATGGAATCGACATTCAGGCCGGCGTTCTTCTCCCTGATGAAGTTCGCGGTGTCATCGATGCGTCGCATCCCTATTTCATGTTTGTGCCACATGTTGCTAATCAGTCCTTCTGAATTGAAAATTGATCTGATTGGAGTTCATTAGATTCAATGGTAGCAAACAGGTTAAGTGCCATAATTTTTCCTGAAAATAGAGAATAAACACTGATTGTTTCCCTTTATCATTTTGCCCTTTTTGTCCCACACTACGAACTCCTAGAGACACCATTTTTTACGGAGTCACATTACATAGAAAGCTCTCCAACTTTCTCGTGCCTTTTGACTTTACTTCGTGTTGTGTCTGAAGGAACGATGCATCCAATAATTGTCGTGATAGGAGCAAACCACAGCCTGTCAGGACAAAATGATCGGGGTCTTGCGTACGAGAGAGAGATCCTTTGAAGTGTTCTTTAAATCAAGGTTTGGAAGCAACATGGCGTGTTCGTTAATATTTACCAGAGGGAGTCACCGACTTTTTGATTTAATAGAATTAGCCTGAATTTGGTCTTCTCGAATGACCAATTATATATCGTTTAAATTGACAATCTAGACAATTTCCAACCTATACAGGTAAAAAAAAAAAAAGCAATCCGTTAATTTAATCAAAAAGTTGTAAACATATCATATTTGTTATTAAAAAATTGATCAGCTTTGAATATCAAGATCGAAATAGAAACGATATGTTTGAGAAAGGTCCATTATGATACAAGCAACTCTTAAATTATGTACAAAAAACATTAAGAGGATGACAAAGAAGGTACGCTAAATTGATTAGTTAATTAAGATTGACACTCTGAATTTGTGTGGAAGCAAACTAGTGAGGTCATGCACCAGGCACAATTCGCTTATTCAAAGATCTAATACGATTTTAGAATAGTATTGAACTATCAAATTTCATTAAAAATGATATATTTTACCAGCCATAGCATTTTTTTAGGTAGAAATGTATGGCAAAAAAATGCTATGGCAACCATTGTGAAGGTGATCAAAATATGATCAAAACCTAAGAAAAAGACTGATTCTGTAACTTCTCCGAGCTGAGCTTCAAATGCGACTCCGCCTCTTTGAAACCTCATCACCCAGAAATTCACGGAATAATTCCAATTCAGAGTGCACAAAAGTAGGAAAAATGCCTAAGTTAACTCATGACTGAGTGCCATGATAGGCATGCATAAAATCTCCATGCGTTCATAGAGGCATCAATCATATATCAAAAGAACATTTAACTGACCCCGGATTATGGATATGAACAGTTAGGTATTCATTTTCGAACATACGGATAAGTGATTTGGCTTCAATTTCCTTTCTTTCTTTTTTTTTATCAGACACACTGGTTTAGCTCATTTACCTTTTATAATAACTGCAATTAGGATAGAATCTCTTCATCATTTGCTCCAGATCTTGAGTGTGAATTCCATAAGATGAACATATATATCTTCCCTCTGCCTTAGGCTTCTCATATGCCAGCAAGATGGCTTCAGCCAAATCGCGCACGTCAACAAAAGCACTAACTCCATTATCTGCTGGTTCAGAACTCTCTATTTTGGCAACACGGAAATATGAGGTGAGGCTCGTGGTTACAAATGAGACACAAGAACGAGACATTTTGGACTAAATTAACTGCTAAGATTGGAAAAAAAAAATCACTTTCAGGATACATCAAATGCGTATTTGCGGATTCAGAGATGCAGCACTGATGGAAACCTTCCAAGAAATTAAGGAGATAAAAGCTGCTGGTATTCCAGGTGGACTGCAGCATAGGTCCAACAACGAGCGAGGGGCAAACAGTTATTATATTGAGCTTGGTCCTCTTTGCAAAATCCAAAGCTTCAGATTCCGCCATAGTCTTGGCAATGCAATACCATAGCTGGAATTCATAGGACATATCAGGTCATCGAGTAAACTGAAGAGCCAGATAATCCGCTAATCCTTGTAAGAGTAATGCTACAGGTATAAAACAATGCAAAGACTAGTATACAAATTGAAAGAATATTAATCGAGGGTAGACCCTTTACCTCAATACTCTTGGAGCATTCCGTGCCGGTCCAGCATCTTTCATCCATGACCTGATCCATTGGCCAATTCAGATTCACCACGACAGCTCCGATTGACGACACAACCACAACTTTCTTCACATTCACCTTCAAACAAGCATTCAGCACATTTCTCGTGCCCATTATAGCTGGCTCCATCAGTGCTACATAAACTCCTGCACCTGTCACACAAATTCTTTCCCTCTCACCCTTCTCTTCCATATCCCTGTCTTACTTTTTAATCCATGCCGTTTGACCGTCTATATATTCTTCATGCCGCTTGCTATGCTCATGCAGGACATGTAGAACAAGACAAATCTCCCAAGCTTTGTCGGCAAGGACACCCTTTCTCACTTTTTTTTTTTAAAGTTACGCTTTTTTCAACCTTTTTGTTTTGTATCGCAATGGAGTGATATTCTACCATGGACCAAGCTCACTCCTAATGTGATCAAAGGTAGGTCATCCGCGTTGAGAACATGACTTTAGACAAACGATTGAACGAGAAATCTCGAGTATCTTTGCAGGCAAAGCTGTAATCGTCTAACTAGCTCGATCAAACCCTTAGTTACAAAAACTTTATAGTTTTAAGATCGAATTCCCAAGAAATATTACAAAATAGATGAAGAAAGATTTTCTTCTACTGAGTATTAGGGAATCATTGGCAGCGTCGTTGGATTTTTCGATGCATTGCTATAAACTACGGCATAGTTTAGTAAAAAATTCGACTTTTTTGTTTTGGCAATTGACAGATAATTCCCATTGGTTTTATCCAACTTTCACTCGTTCGGTGGTCCCTGAGCTTAGTTTCACTTTAAATAGTGCTTGTCAACATGCTGTTACCCTGTTATGCAATGGCCGCTCTCACGAGTTCCCTCATAAGATCACCGCACGATGAGAGAAAATTAAAATTTGACATGAGAAAAAAAAAATCTATGCATTTCTCAACGGTCCAGATCATCCCGTCTTTATTTCAGTTCCAACTTTATAACAAGCCCGAATGACAACAGCGACCTCTATGCTATGACAAAACGATGTCTGTGTGTTATTGAGAGACTGTTCTCATCGACAACAATCAAGCAATGATCAATGCCGGGGCAGAAACTAACCCAACGACAGAACTACTTTATCTCCAATAGTCCAGACGCATGGTAGCTTTCAACCGAATCAACTAGAGTTTCCTCCAATGGCCTATAAGTCCAACCGAGCCTTTGTAACTTCTCCGAGCTCATAGTAATCCCTTCTTCAGTCTCAGTAAAGCTGCCAATTAACATGCACGCATTCATGATTCGTCACATATATAGATTATAAACCGAGAAGAACAAAGCCTAATTTAGTTCTTGAGGTTGTACTTCTTTTCTTCATTCCTTGGTGGGATATGAAAAGAACGGGAAACAGAGAACAGGTAGAACCAAGATCATTTCGACCACAAAATTAAGAGGGATGTCGAAGCTTACCTATGAGGATAATTGTAGTTAGGATACAGACTCTTCAGCTTTTCCACCAAGTCCCGTGTCTTAATGTAGTGATATGTGCATATATATCGTCCTTCGGCCTCAGGTTTCTCATATGCCAAAATTACAGCTGCAGCAACATCACGTACGTCCACTATATTCCTAACCCCGTTTGGCACCGACTCCTGCCCTCCTGTTATTACATCACATAACAGATTGCTAGCAGAATTAGGTCCATCAATGTTAGAACGCCACTAAGACAAAAGTACAACCTGGGTCATTTTCTCCTGATTTTGACCGGTGAGAAAAATGTATCCAAATGCGAGATAATTCAGAAAAGCACTCCGGACATAGTGAAATTGTGTCGGATCAAAAGAAAAATCCTACAACATAGCATGCTCTAGAGAGGACACATGCTTATGTCTCTTTCCAAATAGGAGATCTTAAAAGGGTTTTGTCAACGATTGCCCCTGGAGCACTTGTTTTTTTTTACTGACCCTGGAGCACTTCTTAAATGTACTTCATTTGCAGTAGTTCAATTTTCAAAGTTTTGATGTGAATAACACGATGACAGTAATATCATTTGAAACCGTATAGTTTCCTATATTGGCTATTTAACAGGTGCTCCCAAAGTGCTCGTTAACAAAATCCATTTTAAAATAAAACGTCAACTTTATTTCTAAACTATCCATGAGATACAGCAGATCTGAAGGTAGTGGCAATGAATAACTACATTTTACAAGCTTCACACCTTTCATAACCTTTAAGAGGTTTGTTGTGCTTGCATTGAGTGTTGACTGCAGAATTGGACCATATATGAGACTGGGACACACCGATACAACGTCGAGCCCATTTCTTTTTGCATATTCTAAAGCTTCACTTTCTGCTTCAGTTTTTGAAAGGCAATACCAGTTCTGTGGCAAGAAGAGGGTATGTTCAGTAGGGAATGAAGGAACTTACAACAAAGAATCAGCGCATGCTTTTCTTAGATACGGAAGTATAATTGATCTATAGAGATAAGCTGATGGGTAACCAACTATGGCAAGGCAACACAAACTAAATTGCAGCTTCGTAATATGTTTATTCATTTGTAAAAGAAGCTGTATGAAACTTGACGGAAACTTTACACAATGTCGGAGCATTTTTTCAAGTCTGAAGTAAGTATTGTCCATTAAAAACAGGTGTTCTAACTATCTTGCTAAGATCTAATAATTATTTTTATATCGTCAATTCTATTATTTAGAGAAAGAATTGGACTCATGGAAAAATCTCAATGATTAAGAATGTCGACACTGCCCCAGAAGGCTACAGTATATATATTTCACCAGATTAAATTCATAAGCAGATCACCTCAGTCCTGCGACAGTACTCCTTGTCAGACCAAGACAACTCATCCATCACCTGACCATTTGGCCAGCTTGGGTTCATCATCAATGCAGCAGCCGAGGATACATATACAACTCGCTCAACTTTCGCTTCAGAACATGCCTTCAGTACATTAAGTGTTCCCTTAACTGCAGGTGCAAGCAGCTCTACCTGCAATAAGTTTATTCAAAAATAGAGGAGACGGAGACTATAAGTATTGAAAAATTCGCCGAACATATCAAGTATCTCCTCCCCAATCATGAGAGGCAGATCTGCAAGAGAACTAATGACTTTCCCCAAAACCTTGTATTTCAGCCTGTCAGTTTCATTTTGATGACTGGTCTGGATTATATCTCGAACCTTCTGCTTCTTAATAGGTCAATCAAGTTTGACATGATCCAATCTTTAAATATTCTCTCACATTGATATAATTCCACAGGGCTAAGAAGCGGCATTTTATTTGCATGTATAGAACCATCATACTTAATTAGACAATGGGTCCAAGTAAGGGAGACAGCGAATGGTAATTTCAGTTTTCACAAGCAGTGTTAATAAGCTACCACGTACACATCTGAATAGTATATGTTCATTCTTTTAGATTCAAATGCATGCCAGTCAACATCTAAACACTGCTTGTGGAAATAAATCTTTTGGATTTGACATAGTCACAAAGCAATATGCCGGGGAAACTCTTGCCTCAGGATTTGACACAGAGGACGGAGGGACTGGACAAGCAACATGGAGAACCCCACAGCATCCATCAATTGCCGAGAGGAGAGAATCGTAGTCGAGTAAATCCGCCTTGAAGAGTCTCAATTTCTCAGATGCTTTATCTAGTTTCTTCAAGTGAGCATACTTTGCATCACCTGCACAGAGAAAGTTACCAATTTAGTCCCCAGATTATGGGACCACAGGTTTTATTGTTCTATGGTGGGCCTAGATAGAGGTACAACTATTAGTTGCTTTGCCCAACCCCATCCAAAAAATCAAACCCCCCCAACAGACAAACTATTGTAGTGGATTTATTGAAACCATTGAAATCAAAATACGGCAAAGTAGCTCCTGGATGGGGAACTACTCCTTTGATGGGTGTCGCTATGGCTCCATTTGCAGATGTCGGCAATTGGAGCTCGAGCACAGAACAATACAGAAAGCAAAAACAGGCCGAGCGAGAAAATCATGAGCAAAGTAATCAAGCTGATAAACTGAGGAGAGAAACAGTAGGAAGTGAAGGACTTACTGGGGTCCCTGACGGTGCCATGGACGATGTAGCCCTTGGAGAGAAGGATCTTGACGACCCACGAAGCAAGAAAGCCTCCAGCTCCCGTCACGCACAATTTCCTCTCCGCCATCGCCGTCCTCTCTCTCTCCACACACACACACGGACTCGAGCTCGAAGACTCTAATGGCTCTGCAGTGCGGTCTTCTTCGTGCGCCAGCGAGAATTGACACCAAGTTTTTTGCAAACTCTTTGCATTGGCTTCTGCTTGGACACCAAATCTACGCCGTTACATATCGGGCGTTGACCGAAGAAAAGTCGGACAGCGGAGTCGTGTGATGCTATTTGTTGTCACTTCTCCCGGGCTTGGGCTTTCAGTTTCTTCTCCCCTTGTCGGGACTCGGTACGCTTCGCTTTACTTAGTCTTCGCCTAAAATCAAGACCCCTCATAAATGCACCCCCCAACTTTTTATCTCGTGCCGTATGCGTCTCCCATCGAAGTGTTGAATTCTTCAAACAGAGTGACATTGATCAAAGCGTCGTAACAGCACAACAAATGAACAGCTTAGGTAATACAAAATCTGAAGTCAAGGACTGTGCAAGGAGCGATCCGGCGTAAGACGATGAAGGAGTCCGGCTTGCTTACCAGCTCGTTTGAGTCTAACTCGGCTCCTTTCGATTCAAGGCCATGCTATTCGAATGTGCGCTAATTGTCGATTGTGGGCGTTTGAAAATGAGACGAAATGCCGGAATAAAACCCCGTTCACGGAGAAAGAGGACCGCCTTCCGGTTTCGCCAAAATGGTCGTTGACGAAATACCTTTCACCAAAGGTTTTGTCTTTGGTTTTTTTTTAGTAAACTGAGTTTTGTGGCAATTCGGACAGGAAACAATATATACTGAAACAAGGAATTGCGAGTAAAAATAATGAATCGGTAAATTGAATTGAATTGCTGAAAATATTGATAAGCGTTGCTGATTGCGGATCATTTACAATTGATTCCAACTATCGAGAAGTGGTTACTGTTAAGACCTATTTAAGATAGACTCTTCAAAGTTATAGTAACCCATATATGACCTATTTATTTTTTAAATGAGCGATATATGGGTTTAAGACCCATTTTAACAGTTATACAAACTGATATACTTGTGATAAATTTATCCTCGTTAGTTTATGTCAAATTGCTAAGTTTGATGACATGTGACAATTGACGTGGCAAGTCCATGTGCAAATCTAAAATGTTACTACCAAAAAAATCCTGGCCCCACGAAATAAATTGGATGCAAAAATCGGATTGATCGGATGTCAGATAAAAACGATATGCTTGATCCATTTTTAGA